CATTTGACCATTTCTAGGAATTTTCAACCAAACAGTCAAGGAAATAGGCCCCTCAAAAACCCCATCTGGAAACTGGTTATCATTGCCTACCCCTCCCTCATGGCCAAATTATTCTGGGTGACAATGCTGCCTTGCAGTATGAAAGATGAGAAGTAGCAACATAAAACGGACTGTCCAGGACATGCTTGCATTGCAAGATGGAAAGTGATTCTGGGAAGAAATGGTCGATCTCCAGGAGATTTAACGAACTCTAGTGATGTACCAAAGCTCTTCTTTCATTTCCTCATGGGAAATAGGCTTGAAACGGTAACTGTACTATATTTCTGGATGGAGGAGTATTTTTCCTAAATAATTTGTCTGGCTTGAGGTTGTTTATTTGCAGATAGAGCTGATTATTGGCATTGTCCCTGGAGATGGTGAAGCTTCCTTTCACTTTGAGCAGATCATTTCACTGGAATCAGTATATCTGAATGCAGCCTATTCTAGGCATTTCCCTGGATGCTTTATCATCCAGCACATGGCACAGCTGCTGAAGCTGAAGCCAGAGGCTTGGGAAGAGGGACGGAGGGAATCTCGAGGTCTTGTCACCTGCCCTCCAGGCTCCACCAACTGGACCTCAGATTGGACACCTAGAAAGAAAGTTTGTTTAATTAAACAAAAAGGCGATAAAAATCTTCTTTTGGGAAGGGAAAGTAATACCTCTGAGAACTACTAATAACAACATGAGGTTCAGCCAGGGTGTCATTTTTACTTGCTCTAAAGATCGGAAGAGTCTTTCTGATGGGACAACATTCAGACAAGCACTCAAACTTTGTGTTTTTCAGCATAACAGCATGACATGACTCCTTTGAGCAGGAAGCTGTTCCTGAATGTACATAGCCCTCAGGATAAAAGGGCCATGCACTGCTTTGACCTTCTAGTGCTCCTTCATCCTACAATACAGACATGGTTTTCCAATACTGAACAACTCCCAGTCAAGGCACAAGATTTAAATCCCTAAG